ATGTATGTATGTATGTATACCTTAGGATTTATTTACCCGCGTGGACGTGTTACCACGTTACATTCCTCGTCATGTTATGTTTTTTTTTTTATCCTTTCATCGTTTTCATAAACACGAGGAAGGTGTTGAACTTTTCTTCGACATTTAAATCGATCAACGATAAGAAAAGTAAAAAATAAACCGAAACAACAACACAATAACAATTAAACTTGCACGATATAATTATCAATCCTTGATTTTAGATTCTATTTACGTTGAGAACGGAGAAAAAAACAATGTCATTCCAATTATTTTTTAAATGATTATTCCTTCGTACGTTGCTGCTGCTGTTTCTGCTGCTGCTACTGCTGCTGCTGCTGCTGCTGCTGCTGCTGCTGCTCTCATGCAGCCAACGTAGGACATGTGATCGTTTAGAAAGTGGGCCATGTTAATTTGACGTGTAATACGTTTACATATGATGAATAAATGATGAATAAAAAACTTATAGTTCAATCTATATCTTTCACACAAACACAAATACACGCATACGTATATATCCACTTGTTTTATCGAAACGTTATATACAAAGTGTCAACTTATTTTTGTATAAACATTTGTCGTTAATAAACGAACCTTGAACACGTACGGCGAACACCTTTCTTCTTCTCTTCCTTCCGAGAGAGAGAGAGAGAAAAGATCGATAAATTTCTCTTTATTTCTCTTTCTCTTTTTCTCTTCATTCGTAAGAACACAAAAACACGAACGGTACGAATAAGAAACGTGTGGGAGAATTTATACACCATAAAAAAAAAAAAAATTACTAAAAATTATACGAGTTATACGATAGAAATGAGAAGAACTGGACTTTTGATTTGTTCGTTTAAAATGTAAAGAGAGTGAAAATAAAAATAAATAAGGGTGAGAGAGGGTGAGTTAGACGTTATTTAGCGATAAGGGTTTACAACACACAGGAAAAACCGCGGAGAGAAAAGGCGCGGAATCCCTACGCTCGCGAATCGGTCCGGTGACTGAATCGAGCGACGTCAGAGGGGGGAGGGTGAGGCGCGAGACGACGGTAGAAACGCGCCCGCCGAAAGGAGTGGGGGTGTACAAAGAGAGGGGAGAACGAAGATACACCCATGACTCGCGCATGCGTGTCTCTCCCTACTATCTATTTTCTCTTTCCCTATACTTACGGGTAGCCAGCTACTACTACCACCACCACCGAAACCAAATACAACCAACCACCCACCAACCCAACCACCCATTCTAGTTTTATCCTTGTCACACTCATTTATACTTTCTTTCTTTCTCTCTCTCTCTCTCTCTCTCTTTTACCTCTTCTCTCTATGCCCCTTATTTTCTTTCCCTCTTCCAACTTTCATTTTTTTGTGTGCTTCTCTCTCTCTCTCTCTTTCTCTCTCTTTTTCTCTCTTTCAAAAACTCACCCCTTCGTTGCACTCTTCTTCTTCTTTTTCTTTTTTCTTTTCTTTTTTCTATTACTTTCGTATCCTTTTTCGTAGATTTTCTTCAACTTTCGTTTAAATCGGATAGGTAACTTATTTATTTTCTTTTAAATACTTATTACTTACGAATAAATGTTTAACATTTTAACGCTTAACACAAGTTAGAAAGAGACTGACGATAAATTAATTTAACGTGTTAAATAAAAATTTACTCTCTATTTCACAATTATTTTCTTCACCTTCTCTATTTCTCTTTTTTTTTTCTCGTTTTTCTTTTTTCCTACTCTTGCCAACCCAACTCTCACCCTCTCTCTCTCCATTTCCCATACAGTTCATTTTTCTTTCAGCTCTATATAATTTTTGTCGAAAAAGAATAAAAAAAAAAAAAATATAAAGAGAAAAAAAAAAAAAGAAAAATGAACAAAAAGTAGAATAATATCGCTTGAAATAGGGGAAGTCGGAGGGTGAGTGAGGGGTGGAAATAGAAACGAGGAATCAATGCAGCGGTGACACTTAATTGATATATCGCGTTAATCACGTTGAATTTGAAATTCGCTGAGAGTGGATTTTATATTCCTATAAAAATGCATTACACTGACTGCGCGTTTGATATACATATATATATATATATATATATATATACGTTTGCATGAACGCATATGTATTTGTATATGTAACCATATATATATGTATTCTTGTAGTAGTGTGTAAAAGCTCATGGGACACCTATGAGAGCTTTAAGAGCGGACCGCTGGTCTAGGCGGAACATAAAGCGAATATTTCGTTTAATATTTAACACCCTTTATGAAGATCGATGTTGTAGGTATTGGATATTGAACATCAACGTTGATATCGCTATCGCCATAGATAGAGAAAGCGAATATTTGATCATGATATAAGTACAGACAGGTTTTCATACTAAACTTCGTTTGTTCTCTCATTCTTTTTCTTTCTTTCTCTCTCACTCAATTACTTTCACTCTTTTTTTTTTCTATAAACTTTTTCTTTCTATTTTTTTTTTTTTTTTTATTAGTTTTCTTTTGCTCTTTTTTACTCGTTGAGACAGATGGAATTTGCAGAATGTAAAGCAGAATGGATCGCCTACGATTTAAAGAATTTGAATATCGTTACGAGAACGAAATACTCCTCTCTCTCTATCTCTCTCTCTCTCTCTCTCTCTCTCTCTGTTAAATGACGGGAGATAGTGTCTAATGAAAGCGTGAAAAATTCGTGCTAATTTTATCGATTATCTATTATCATTTATTAAATATTTCATTAATCTAATTAAAGATATATATTTGAATGAAAGAAAACTGTTATCTATAATCGAAAGATGTTCATTCATAAATAATCATTCGAATATGAACATTCAACAAATAATATATTTTTTTTTTTTTTATACATTTGTACGTATTAATATTATATACAATTTTTATAAATGTATCACTGAATGCGATATTTTATTAAATGATCAACATCCTCCAATATTCGTTTTTTAATACATTTATCTGAAATATGAAACAAAAAATATCAAATCTGACACTTCTACAAAACCCATGAACTTTTTTTTTTTAATCCAAATTCAATTATAATTGCAAACGAATCATTTTGAATGTAGTAATATATAACATATGTATATAATTGAACATTGTCATAGAAACTAGTACACGTTGATATACGTAACATTACTTCTCTACGTTTAATTTGTAACAACGATCAAGTTGTCAAGACCGACACGTAGCTAGAGAATAGTGCAACAATAGCCGAAAATCCTCTCAAACGGCTAACCATCCAACCCATTCACCCCCTACCACCTCCCTTCCTCCCACCTCATCCATAGCATACACGCAGCATCCAAACGTTTCGTCGAGTTTCTCCGACTGCTTGTTAGGTTGTGTTGTGTTGTCCGATTCTGTTGGTTGTTTTGGGGGGGGGGGGGGCCTCGGCGTATATGAGAGTGCGATAATCGCGATACAACCGGCGAAACACCGGATGCATAATAGTTGACAGGACCTAGAGCGTTAGTCGCGGTCGAACGGCTATTATAGACGCACAAGGCGTTGGCTGAATACGGATCGATAGGTCGTGACGTGTTCGCAATACTCGGACGTATTTTTGAAGGGTTGGTTCGGCTTTGGTTCTGTGACGAATCGATTTGTTTCCAGAAACTCGATTATATGCGATTTTCCACCATGTTCCACGGATTTCCTCTGATTCGTCGATCTTATCACACGTGTGTCGTTCATCTTTTTTACGATGATTTTCAAAACAATTTTTATTTTAAACAAGGAAAATGATCAACTTATCATTTGGTGAGCTTATAAGTTAAATTAAGATTTATATTATGTTTTTGCAATATTTGTTTGTTACTTACATTTTGATAAAAGTTACTAGATATTCGTGAATGTTAAAAATGAAAATATTTGATAAATTCTTATTAGATTTTTATGTTTGGTTATCATCCGTAGTTATTGCAGATTGAACGTGTTATTTTTTGGGACACTACTAAATAAAACATTTGACGTTTCCACCTATATAACCATACATGTACGATCCTCTTAGAAAGAGATGTACAAAATATCACTTTGTAAATTCGAACCAACGCGAAATATTTCCTCATCCTCCTTGGTTGTGTTCACAAAGCAAATTTTCACGAAGAAACGAACGATCTAGTAAGTGCGCATGCTTGTATATATACTTGTGTATATACATATGTGTATGTGTATATATGCAACGTTTCTCGCTGCATTGAATATATCTCGCTTGTTGTATATTTATAAGTAACGTTACTGGAAGTCTTTGCGTGAACGGTAGTCGATGGTTTTGTACCGAACAAAAGAAATCCTTATACTGAGAAGTAGAAGAGAAGAATCCCCTCTCTCTCTCTCTCTCTCTCTCTCTCTTTCTCTCACTTTCTGTGAGATAGGTTCTCTACCATCGGTGGAATACTAACGCTATCGCGTTATATTTCCGTACCTCTTTGAAAATCGCAAAATCGTAAGGGAGCAACCGGGATGGAGAAACGATGGGTGTTTGGGGGGATGCTTTCTTCTTTCTCCCATACTTCGATGTTCTGTCAAAAGATTAGAATAGAACGGTAGTTATGTATGAATGCATAGAAACTTTGCTTTAAAAAAATAAAAATAAAAATAAAAATCATATTACCATCTATAGTTYTCCTACTTCTCGTAACGATGAAAATTTTCAGATTTAAACATTGTCCAAGCTAGTGGTAAGAGTATATAAAGAAAGGTGGAGGGGATAAAAATAAATGACCGAAAGAAAAAAGGATTAGTAAAAATATGCCGAGAATAAACTTCCGATAACATCGAACAGGCAAATCGTTTCGTTATGTTTGCGGACGTAGAAAAGGACAGGATATGTATATATATATATATATATATATATATATATATATCTATGCAAAAGCGAATTATTCTCGTCACCTCTGTGATTCGATAGAAACGATTGTGGCATGAGGGAGTTGTTCCCTGTTCCTCTATTCATATACATATGTACGTACACGTGCATACGTGTACATAGTCGTGTACGCTCGACCACCGGAAATAGGATTGTCTTCCATGAGCCTTTATCCGATATCGCGATTCCAACACGATATCCTGAATGAATGAACGAACGAACCAACGAACGAACGAATGAACGAGACAACCGAACGAAGGTACACCGAGTACGAAACACAAAGAAGCTCAAGTTTTAATTAAAAACCATTCAATTACGCAGATTCTCTTCTCTCTCTCTCTCTCTTTCTTTTTCTTTTTTCGTATACTGTTCCCTCTCATGCTCTCTCACTCCATTACGATCGTCTACAACGGTCTATCTGCAATGTAAACACGATTGTCTCAGTCATTAACGTAAGCTAGATTTTCATTTTCTTACATGGTTTATCTGAAAAAAAAAATGAATCCACAAATGATATGATTTTTTTTTATAAAAAGTTGCGTGTGAAAAAATTGGAAAATATTTTTCTTTCTATCGGATCTTTTTAACCCTTAGATTGCTATCGACGCATATACGTGTTTGTCAATATTAATATAAGGTAATGTAATATTTATATTRATTAATTAAATTATATTCAAAAAAAAACTTTAATTATTAAATGTATTATTTATAATTAGAATTTGATTAATAATAAATTATAATTAATTAAAAGTATTCAGCACTCAAAAAGGGTTAAAAATCCTCGTTAATATACCATGGATATAAGATTTGAAATGCAGAAAGATGGACACACGTACCATAAGCGAATATGATAAAAATCTTTTGTAAAATGGGGTGAGGTGGGGGGATTAAGTAGATTTACATATATCATTCTACCATTCCTTACACTTTTACCATAGACAAAATAAATGGATTCTGGTGCACGTACCCAACTCAACCCTACCACCATTGGTCTTCTCTTCTACTTCTTCCGATCTTATTCAAAATGCTGATTAGGCAAATAACAAGAAGAGAAAGAAAAAGAACAAAGAGAGAGAGAGAGAGAGAGAGAGAGAGAGAGAGAAAGAGAGAGAAATGAAGAAAGTACATTCCT